ATGGTATAATTTGGCTGGCATACGTTTCATACACGTTAATGGTTTAATTTGGCTGGTATACACGTTAATGACTATGTTGATTCCTCTATCTTGAAAATTTGAGTTCATGATGGATGGGTATAAGAAACACTCTGTGTTGTCTTGTTTGCTTGTAAAAATCAGCACTATTTTCTCTTCATGTGGAGCGAGTGGAGCTATCTGTTTTGTCAGTCATGAGCTGTTTCTTGGGAGTTGTGAGGCATCTTAACTTACTCCGCAAAACTTTGAACTATTGTATTATGCCTTCTCATTGTATTAAGCCTTGATAAAGCTTTCACAACTGATTACCAGAATTTGCCTTAACTGCAAGAGATTTGTTCCTTGGCCTTTGGCCAGGTCTATGCTGTTTCCTGAAAGAGCACAAAGGAAATGTATTCGTAATTTTTTGGACACGTGCATTCTTGATATATTTTTTCTCTGCCTATCATGTGCATCACATTTTTGGATCAGCTTTACTTATGCATGTTGGTCTTTCCTTTGTTACATCTTGATAACCAGTTATGGCATTTTTAAAGTCAAGTTGTGGTGCCTCAAAGCCTTCTTTGGCAATTAGCCTTTCCTCAGTTTTTGTGATTGTATAATTTACTGGCTATATATTTTTTTATTACATGCTTAGGATAACTGTGTAATTCTGTTCGTTGTTCAAAATAGGTTCTGCCTTCAATTCTTTTTGTGAAGGCAAATAATGCAGAACTCTGCGAAAATATCAGGTTTCAGTTGCTTGCTTCCACTGACTGCTCTGCGTGTTTAGACAAGAAGAAAATGAAGGCCTTAATTCCACATATAATACAGATCTTTTATTTTGGGCTATTGTTCACAATTTGTGCTGGCTCAGTGGTAGCTTCAAGAGGTTCATTTGATTGTTCTGCAATTGTTTCTTTCATAACATCATTGTACCTGTTGATCGAGCCGATTCAGGTAACATTTTCTTCAATGTTGTGAAGCATTTTACATGTTAGTAGTATTTTCTCCTCATGTAAGTGTCTGGTTCTTTATGAGTTATACACCTGCTTTCATTGGATGTCTTCACATAGTTTTACAATTTTGGATATGACGAAGTTTTGGTTACTTCTGAAATCCCAATTACTTGCATTAGAATTTTATCCCTAGAAGGTTATGAGTTTCTCTCCCTGATGAAGGACAAAAGTTGGTACAGTTTTCATCTCTTACTATTGTTTGAACTAAGTGATAAATGATGGATTTGTACCAACAACTTTGTATTTGTTACCCCTTAGTTGTTGACACCATGTATGAGGGATTGATATTGATTAGTTCTGAGGCATTTTTTTTTATAATATTTCATATAAGGGAATAAGGTCATGACACAGCTAAACAAAGCCAAAAAGGGGGAAAAAGGTCATGATGCAGTAGATGGCGCATTGCTAAATAATCTTTTACAATCATTCTTGGCTCTGTTGTCAGTATGCATCTGTGTAGATATGATCGTTTGCAAGCATGGTGCTCATAATTTTTTACTGGTTGACTCTCAACAAATTAATGCATTTTGAGGTTTCAGGGCTGACATTTCTGGTACATGAACATTTTCTGCAACTGTTCCTTAATTGGTTTTATACTTGGTATCAATAATTGCATTGAACTTAATTTAATATCTATTAAATTCCTAGGTTGTCAACTTGTCATGAGAACCATGAGAGAACAGGTTCCAAAACTCAATTTTCCTTGGGACTGACAATGCACTGTTTCATAGTTGATGGGATATTAGATACTGCAGGAGATATGGTTGTTATCATCCTTCCAGTGCTGCTGCAAATTTGCAGTTCTATATTCATCAACTGGTAGTTTTAGTTGTTAATATAGAGATGATATAATGTGCCATGTGATTACACCTAGCTAATTTCTTGTCCTACCTAAATTATGCATTTTTTGTGTGAAGATGATGGAAATAGTTCAGGTCTTTATTTTGCGCATCTTTCTAATGCCTGAATGTTCTTTCACATCTATTTCTCCATATTTTTGTGATCCTCCGTATTTATATCATTGTTAGAATATGTGGAGCTATCTTAGAGTATAAATCTAAGTTTACAGGATTATGCAGGGTGTGGGTAAAGCATACAATGAATTAAAGCAAGGAGAGCCAGCAGTAGAGCGCTTGTTTACTTTGACAAGGTTTATACCTCAGGTTTTAAATCATTTAACTACTTTCTATTTGGATAGGATCTTCCTCTTTTTCTGGTTGGGGGGTGGGTGTGGAGAATATACCACCTGTCAGCCCTGGCAGCATCACTCTTTATTTGTGCAACAAGCTATTTATTCAATTTTTTGCGTTTTAGGTGATTGAGCAGCCAGATTCAGTTGAATTAGACCAAGTTCATGGAGAAGTAAAATTTTCTGGTGTCTCTTTTAGATATGAAGATAGTACACAATTTGTTTTGAATGGTGTGGATCTTCGGATCAAGGCCGGAGAGATTGTAGCTCTTGTTGGGCCATCAGGAGGAGGAAAGACTACTGTTGCAAAACTTCTTCTTCGCTTGTATGATCCTGTTTGTGGTAAGTTGTGTTGTCATTTCAACATATGCTTTCACATTTTCAATTGGCCTTTGATCCTTGTTTATGATCACTATACCCATCTTTCCTATTGTGTAGAGGAGCTTACTTATTTTCTATTGACAGGTGTCATACTTATGGATGGCCATGATATTCGAAATATACGACTGGAAAATCTAAGGAGGCATGTTGGTCTCGTCTCTCAAGATGTAGTGAGTAGCAAGATACTAATCTAGTTATGTTCTTCACGTTTGTTTAATTCTAGTCTTACTTTGGTTTGAGGTATCTTTTCAGTTTGGCGCTGCTTCGGTGAGAAACAGTCCAAATATTGTGTGAAAATTTTTATTCAGTTTAGGGGATTATTAAATGAGTATTTTGCATGTAATGTGTTTAAGATTCATCTGTTGTTACATCTTCTGTCTGCAGTTGATGAAAACATCAACCATAGGATGATAGAGTTTTAGTCTTGGGAATGGGATATGCATAGCATCAAATATGACACACTAGAGAGCTTTGATTTATAGGATGATAGAGTTTTAGTAGCTTTGAAAAGTTGGGAATGCTGAGAAGTCGTCCTGAAGACCAGTGTCATTCCATTCTTCATTTTCTTATGGAGCTCCATGTTTTAACCTTGAAAAACACTGCTAACTGGGATGAAAGAAAATAATGAGGCTTTGTACTTTTGAAAATCCTAGTTAAGAATGATGAGAAAGCTGGATTGCTGACATTCCTCTAGATATTTAGTTGAACATCAGAGAAATGTGGATGATATGTCTTCTATTATTTTATCCTAACAAAGACCAATTGAAAAATGCATGCCAACCTCGTGTATTTACAGCTATGATTTGATCTATGGAACATTTCTCACGGTGTCAAAACTGCTTCTGTAGCTAGATCTGATTTTATTTTATGTTGTTTGTCAGACACTCTTTTCAGGGACTATTGCTGAAAATATTGGGTATAGGGATCTAATGGCTGACATTGATATGGAGAGGGTTGAATTTGCTGCTAGAATTGCAAATGCAGATGAATTCATTGAAACACTTCCAGATCGGTATCAAACCAATATTGGACCTAGGGGCTCAAGTCTGAGTGGAGGCCAAAAGCAAAGGTATCATCTTTTTAGCGAGTGTACTTTAGCCTTTCTTAGCCCTGCCAGGGTATGGCATAGAGAATGGCGTGGGTTCATTAAGTGGAAAGTTCTCCCGTGACTCATAGGACGAGTTTTAGCAAAATTCTAGGAGGAGTTATCAGTGTTAGAATTTCTTTTCTTCTGAAACATATTGGCTATGGTTTTAATTGTCACAACTGCTGCAGAACCTTCAGTAATTTAACATTATTTTATGTCAGACTGGCAATTGCAAGGGTACTTTATCAAAACCCTTCCATTCTGATTCTGGATGAAGCTACTTCTGCTTTAGACAGCAGGTCTGAGTTGCAAGTGAGACGAGCTCTGGAACGGCTGATGCAAAACCGTACCGTAAGTACAATTTTATTTATTTCTTTAGCTTTTTCAGCATCTTATCGCCTCATAGTCATAGCAGCAGCATGAATGATTTTTTCGTTTTCTTTTCTTTTTAACTTTTTGTCCACTTAGGTGCTGATGTACGTCTACGAGTGTTTGCAGGTGCTAGTCATTGCACATCGTCTGGAAACAGTTCTTATGGCCCAAAGAATTTTACTCTTAGATGATGGTAAGCTTCAGGAGCTAAGTCGGTCATCACTTATAGATGCTCAACATACATCACTGGCTTCATTGGCTCTTGTAATATGATGCTTTGAGAGGGAATTCGGAACATCCATTTACCCAAATATTATTGTTAAATAATCTTCATGCAATTGCAAAATCAGCTTTGCACTTGTACAGACATTCATCCTCGGGCTTTGTACAGGGAAAATGGTAGTTACGATTTACGACCCTAATGCAAGTGCCAGTCATGTTCATTTGTTGTATACTTGCGTTTTACTAGAACATTGTACTAATGTTAATGTAGTTTAAAGCACGCACGTGTATTTTGAATCTTGTGGATTGCTGTAAACTTACACGTTTTAGACATCATACTAATCTTCTTATCGTAGATCAAAAGACTCGGACCATATTTTGTTCTGATGAATCACGCTGTGATTAAGAGTGTGATTGAGAGTGTGTGTGTGTGTGTATATATATGTATATATATCTTTCAAATGTTACTTACCCTATTAATATTTCAAAAAAGTTTCAGTATGTATTTCAAAAAAGATCTTCTAACCATACACGCTCAAAACTGTTTATGCGAAGAATAGGACGAAAGTGAAAATTTTCGGTAACTTCATAGTTAATTACCCTATTATATTCCCAAACTTAATAAGTAACTACGAACTTTAAAAAATTTAATTAGATTATCAAATCACAGGATACCTGTTTAAATAGGCTTTCATTATTTACTACCCAGTTAATGCTAGTTCGGTTTCAATCCGACCCGTGTCCTATTTTGCAGATCACTGGGCGGGAATACTTGCCGCCATTTCCAACAAAAAATGGGAAAGGCCCAGGAAACATAAAAAAGAGTATTACTAGTAGTTATCAGTGCTCACCGCGACAAACAAATACTCCATTACCAGTAGTATTGTAGCAGAGTCGCAGGTTAGGAATCGAGGAATTTCCACGAAAACCTAAAAGGTTGAGGAAGTAAAGTATCTCAATCCCTTAAAATTCTCCCGATTTTCCCCTTTGATTTTATTCATTAAATGGAAATGGACATCTCTAAGGATTGACGTTTGTGGTTGATTTTGTTGTATACTTGTATTATTGCAGATACAGAAGAGATGGACACCTCAAGCCCAGCAGTATTAGTGAACGGCGAGTTACTCCCGATGCACGTCGGGAAGCGGGTAAGAGCCGTGATTCAAGTCTTACGCTCCGATGGAAGCGGCACCGTCACCGGAAAATCAACAGATGGGCAACAAATATTCGTGAAAGGGCATCCACCTGCTCCCCTTTCCACTTTTGTTGAAGTCATTGGTATTGCTGATAGCAATCAGTCTGTCCGCGCCGATATCTGGACCAACTTTGGCGATGTTTTTGGTAAGATTTTGCACTTTTTAACATTTCTTTCATTTTTTTCCCTTTTGCACTCTCTCTCCTTAAAAAAAAAAAAAAAATCTTCAGTAGCTTGTTTTCTGGGGCAGACTGCTCGTCTTGGCTTGGGTTTTTTGATTGCTTATGGCGCTTGTATGTTAATGATTTGTGTAATTGAATTTGTACGGCTATGCGTGGATCTGTTAGATTGAAGTGGTTCTTGTGACCCTTGAAATCTAAATTGCTTTGATGCTGGAACTGGTTTGCTAGGACTTTGTTTGCCAACGACTCGCGTATTAAGCGAACTTACTCCTTGAGCATCTCTTGCCAATGGCTTCAGATTTGCTGGTTCCTATTATATTTTGGGCACAAATGGACCTAAAAGCCTAAAGTGTAACTAGGTATATCTTTCTATGTTTTGCCAATATTGGTAGTCAATTTATCCTAATCTGAAAAGGGCAGGTGCTTATTGCCGGATCTTGTAGGGAACTTTCAATATTTTCTTAGCTCTCGTGTCAGACAATTAAACTATTGTACAATTGTTAATTAGGAGTTAACCATGAAAAATTAAACACGAAAAAGGTTTTCCAAATTTCAGGGAGTAGGCGTTTTAGAATCCATATAATGGCAGTAAGTGTTTACTTGGTTACTCTGATCAAAGTGGACTAGATTTAGAACTTTAGAACTCTTTCAAGAGCCCCAAATAGGTTCACCAGTTAGTTGAATTTTGATGCTCATGATGATGATAATACTCGAGCGCATATCAGCGGTAGATATTAAAGGATTGCTGTCCACTGAAGCCCACATGTTTTGCTGGTGGATCCGTGACTCTTCTGATGAGTATGTTATGATGTCTTGCGGAACTAAAAACGGCTACATTTTTCTTGCACGAAAAGATTACCTTGTATGTGTGCTGTTGCTAGTTGCTAGTTGCTACCCAATCTTAAATGAAGCTTTTGCTTTCATGTTTCTGATCTGCTTATTTTTTGGTTTTTCCAGACACCCAAGGCTACAACCATATTTGTCAGCTTGCAAACGGGGAGTATAAACACTTGTTTATTTGAGAGCTCGGGCTGGAATCCAGGGCCATCCTTTGAGTACCTTCACCTTCGTGACTATGTATATGAACGTGTGATTGGTTTCGGATACTACTGGGATCAGGACATCATTGATACCTTTGCGTTATTTTTGGTGGATGCTCACTTTTTACACCCTGCAGTTGCTAGTGCTTTAGCTTTATTTGTGCATCCTGATGAATTTACTTTCCTAAATCTAAAAGCTAGATCTCTATTGGGAAACTCGTTCATTGTTCTGCGGTCATGCTTCGTTTAAATTCTGATATAATCATTTGAAGGATATAGTGTGCAAGGAACTGGCATTGCGATTGTTCCTATTCTAGGCGGCAAATTTTGTGTTAGCTTGTGCAAGGCTGCTGAAAGGAAGATGGTTCTTGATCAAACTGTTCAGAAATTGTAAACGAAGTTTCATTAGTAATTGAAAATAAGCCAAATTGAACAGCTCCGATTAAAATGTGAAAGTATGCTTTGGTTCAAAGTGAGGTAGAACTAGCTTCTTTAAAACAACGGTGTTCTATGGCAACGTATGAATATGAACGTGTTTATTATTTTGCTTTAGTCCCCTCATTTTCACTAAATATGGTAGTACTCCGTCAACACCTCAAACATGTCAGCCAAGAATGAACCAGATATTGAAAAAAGATGCCCGCAGTTGATTATTAGAGTAAACTCCGACTTATAAAATTATTTATCTTTCTCTACGTGCCAATTAAATGGGATTGATAAAATTTACCAATCAACTATATCAAGAATAATAAAGCTGAAAAGTATTAAGGATAGGACCCCAAAATTTTAACCTGGTAAGCCTCTGATTTGTCAAAAAAAAAAAAAAAAACCATTCATTAGTCTTCGTTTTCTTTAGGCAAATCTGATCTGACTCAGAAAAGTGATGGGCTTTTAGGATTATTTGGGCCACTCAAATCAAATGGGCCTAAAGCCAATCACCATCACCCAACTGGTCAGGGCTGTCCAAGTGCCGCTTTGTGGCGCGAGAAAGCTGGGGCAAAATGATGGGCGCATCAGGGAAAAGCTCTCTCGAATAAAAACTCAAGTATCCCAATCTCGAGGGCAAACGGGTCATGTACCATTGCTCCTTAACCTTAAGACTTCGAGGGGAAGAAAATATCCCAAATTGTCAAAACCCTAATTATCATCACCGCAGGGGAGCCATTCAATTTACTGGGTTGCCAAAATAATTCCAAATCCAAAATCCGGGAATTTCTTTAGAGAGTTCGAAAGATTCAAGATTCGTTGGTAATTTCTTCAACTACATGCCTAAATTCACAGACGCATTTTTCAATATTTTTCTGCATTTGTATATGCCTTTTCTTTTATTGTTAGATTGATCTCTACCTGTAATTTTTTTTTTTCCTGTCTTTCTTTTATGCAAGTTTCATATCCCTCGTTTTCGCCATTTTGATATTTTCCGCTTTTTTTTTTTTTTTGGGTTTGGGGTGTTTATTTTTTTGGGGTGGGGGTGGGGGTGGGTGCGGGGGGTCTGGCGATAAATTGGGTGGACGTTTAACTTTATAATGTGGGTTTCTGAGCTGAATGGATTCTAGTACATTAGAGAAGAAAGTCCTTGTATGTTTTTTCATATTTGCCTTTTTGCCTACCTCAAAGAATTTACTGCATTCACTATATCGTCTGAAATGTCTCAAGCTAATTAGTTGAAAGAAGTTATTTGACGAGATCCATGACCCGCAAATTTTCATATATTGTTCAGAAAACCTAGGGAAAAGCATGATAGCTGCAGGATTGGGTACTTTCTCTATTAGCAGACAAGACAGATTTATAGATTTGCTATGTCTGTAACAATTCATGCCCTTTTCTTTGATGGTTTATATGTAGAGAAATGGTTCTGCAACATGCATTTTAGTTTCTTTTTGATTGTACATTTACGGAATGTACATTTACTGCAGGAATCTTACTGTTGTTCTGGGGATGAATTCTGGTTGTGGGATTGATTTTTTAAATGGGGATTGACGGTTTCTTGATGATCAAACTAGTTTAGCATTCTTTTCCCCATTTGGAGATATTTCTCCAATTTTATTGCTTGTAGATCTCTTTCACATCCCTTTGTTGATTTCTCTTTTTCCTTTCTAATCTTTTGTGAATTACATTGGTCCTATTGATGGTTTTGATTAAAATCTGGACATGACTATTCGGGGATCGAACGTCTTCATTCATTCATGTATTCATTTTTCTCTACCTGTTGAGTATCATCTTCCTGTCGATCATCTCTGGAACTCTCCTTTACCTGCCTTTTTTTGTATTACTGTATTCTATCAGCCCTTAATTGAAAATTGTTCGAATTGAAACTCCTTGTAGCCACACCCCTAATGGCAGAAATTCAATTAACAATCTTACTCAGAGGCTTCTTTTGGCCTCTCATTTTGTTTCCATCTATCCGTGCTTGTCTTCTTTCTTTTCCAAATGTTTCTGGCTTCTTTGCTCCCATCAGAGTTCCAGCACAAGCTTATCTTTTAAGATCTATAAGATGCCAAGGACGAGGTCAAGTGCTGCAGCTACTAAACCAGGCGAAACTAACAAGCTTGTTGAGTTCGAAGATCATGTGAACACGGATGGAGAAAATGATAATGACGAGGCAGTGGAGGAGGAAGTTGAGTATGAAGAAGTAGAAGAAGAAGTAGAAGTGGAAGAAGATGAAGAGGTAGAAGTAGAAGAGGAAGAGGTGGAAGAGGTAGATGAGGATGAGGAAGAGGAGGAAGTAGAAGAAGAGGAAGAAGAAACAGAGGAACATGATGTCAGTGGTGGTGGTGAGCAGAATGTCATAAATGATGAGAACATGAAAGATGCTGAGATAGAAGAGGAGGTGAAAAAAAAACACAATCAACTTCTTGCACTTCCTCCTCATGGTTCAGAGGTTTACCTCGGTGGCTTTACTCAAGATGTTTCTGAAGATGACCTTAGGAGTTTTTGCGGATCCATAGGGGAAGTTACAGAGGTAAATCATTTCCGTCCTTCTTGTGTGCAATGTCTATTTGACTTCTTATCCTGCAGAGGTTTTGCATGCCAATTGCAGATCAGGATAATGAAAGGAAAGGGCTCAAATGAGAACAAAGGATATGCATTTGTCACTTTCAGGACGAAGGAAATGGCATCTGAGGCCATCAAGTCTCTTAATAATACTGAACTTAAGGTAAGTAGGGCAGTTTTGAAACCCTTTCCTTTGCGAAGAGAACTTCTTCTCTTCTGAATTATCCTGCTATGATTTCCATTTTTTTCACATCCGTACCATTCAACATTTTCTGACTTTTCTGGTTTACAATGGAATCTGTATTTTTAGGGAAGAAGGTTGAAGTGTTCTACATCTCAGGAAAAGCACCGGTTGTTCATTGGTAACGTTCCAAGAAGCTGGGGGGAGGAAGATATGAAAAAGGTTGTAACCAAGGTTGGGCCTGGTGTTATTACTGTGGAGCTACTAAAGGTCTGGGTCGTCCCACTGCATTTTTGTCATACTGTTTTTATTGAGTTAGCATACCCTTTCTTCCTTAAAAAGAGTGATACCCATTTCTTTTGCTTGTTATCTATTAGTCTTCTCCCTCCATGGAACACCCCTTTCTCCCAGCAAGGCATGGATAGATAAACTTTTCTGTGGGGTTGTGTATGTTTTGATCAATTAAGAGGTGCTGTTACAGGACCCACAAAACTCTAGCCGAAATCGTGGTTTTGCATTCATTGAGTATTACAATCATGCATGTGCTGAATATTCCAGAGAAAAGATGTCTGATTCGAGCTTTAAACTTGATGAAAATGCCCCAACAGTGAGCTGGGCAGACCCGAAGAATGTAGAATCTTCGGCTTCCTCTCTGGTAATTCTCTTAAATTGAACAATTTTACTGATACTTTCATTGGCAATGAATCTTCTAGCCCCAAGAATGATTCTAAAGTTCATCCTGCTATGGGTAATTTCTTACTCTGTTTCATAAGAAGCCTTCAATATGCATAAGATATTAATGCTCTTTTGAACTTCTTTGACCCTGCCTTTCCATTGATATCTGTTGAATGTATTTGCTTAATAAATGTATAGGTGGTAGTCTGATTTAGTTGGATACATATATTACATACTCTAAAAGGGGATTTTCTATTTTAAGTGATTTTTATGGATTTCAACTTATTGAAGTTGCTCATTATGCTAGATAGGCACATCTTTCTTCAATGCGTAGAAGAAAAACACCTGCAATATCCTGCATCTAGAGACTGCACCATATTTTTGTGAAAAAACGTCTACTGTGTTACTTAAAATTGCATTTCAGGAGTTTGTTCAGTTTTGTTAACTACACTTACATGGTAACTTTTTTCCTCATTTATAGGTTAAAGCCGTCTATGTGAAGAATCTACCCAAAAATGTTACCCAGGATCAGCTGAGAAAGTCGTTTGAGCATCATGGGAAGATCACAAAGGTGGTTCTTCCTCCTGCAAAACCAGGGCATGAAAATAGCAGATTTGGCTTTGTTCACTTTGCTGAAAGATCTAGTGCAATGAAGGCTTTGAAGAATACAGAGAAATATGAGATAGATGGTAAACTGTTGTTTGAAAATTACTTCATGTACAATGCTTTCTTTATGATAACTTCTTGTCAAGTTGGTTTTGGTTGGTTAATACTGGACTTACTTGATAGGTCAAGTTTTGGAGTGCTCGCTTGCTAAGCCACAGGCAGATCAAAAGTCTTCTGGACAACCAAATTCACAGAAGGGAGCTGTTCTTCCTTCCTATCCCTCTCCTCTTGGATATGGCTTGGTTGGTGCTAACTATGGTGCTGTTAGTGGAGGTTTAACCCAAGTAAGATAATATTCAATTTGTAGGTCAAAGGTTTTCTTTTTCATATAGTTAACTATCTCCACTTTTTCTTTTGGGTTCAGCTGGGTCTTTGTGCTCTATCTTGTTCTCATTGTGTGCTATATTAGCTTGGCATGCTTATTTCCATTTTTCAGTTCAAGAACAGGCTTATTTTATTACTGAGTGCGCAATAAATTTTTCCTTTTTTTTTTACCTCTTTTTGAAAATCCACATAGAAGAACATACTTAAATTATATGCTGGTTGGGCAAGAAAAATTAATTATGCATGTTTGGTAGACAAGCTACTGCATCTCATGTATGTGAGCATGCGCTTCTCTTTTTTTTTTTTTGGGTCAAGTAGTGTGCCTTTGCTTGTTTGTCTGTTAATCACTTCTGCAGTTACAATGATTATGAGATTACATACTCCATAATTGCATAATACAGCTTTTGTTTTGACTTGATACAGTTTTTGGGCCAAATAAATAGTATCCTATTGCATGTTAGTTACTAACTTATATTTTATTTCCT